AAATGCCTTTGCATAGTCAATAAAACACAAGTAAACATCTTTCTGGTATTTTTTGCCTTGAGCCAAGATCCATCTGACAACAGCTATGATATCCCACATGGCTAGCTGGAATAAAACCTTCTGGAAAACAGGCTGGCAATGTATATCAAGAGCCCTAAAAAGTGACCACAATGATTCAGCTTCTGAGACTATCTCAACTAACAGTGCAAACAAAAATTTATGTACTAAAATGTTCCTTATAGGTTTAAAACTGTGAAACTAGAAACAAATTTAAAATAAACAGTGAGAAAATAAATTATACACTTTATAACACATTCATATAACAGAACATTATGGAGCCATTATTTTTTTAAGTAACATTTTAGAAAATATAAAAGTATAAAGAATAAATAATATTAGGTTCAACAATATGAAATTACCATTTCTGGAGGCCAGTAACGAATACTCTCATTTTCATTTTCCAGAGTGAACTGTTAACCATTAAAATAGAACAGCTTATGTGGGAATACTGAATGAGTATGGCTGCAAAAAGGGCAAGAAAGCCACATGTTCTGACCTCCTCTAACCCCACAAGAGGAAGACAGGATTACCAGCAGTAACCCAAGGCCTATTCCTGCCAGGCCAGACATGCTACCTCCCTCCAGCCCTTTCTCCAACCATTCCTCCCAAAGCACCCACCACCTCTCCTCTGGGTTCGATAATTCGCTGCAGTGGCCACATAGAACTCACCGATTACGGGGTTTATTAGGGAAGCACCAGGCTACAACTCAAGTTCAGGAAGAACGCTGTCTCTCTCCCAGCCCACCGTCCCTCAGCCAACAGTCTCTCACAGTCTCTCTCCCAGCAGTGCATGTCCCTCGGTGTCTCACTCAGCAATGCGCGTCTCTTGAGTCTCTTTCCCAGCAGTGCGTGTCTCAGGAGCGTGTGTCTCTTTCAGCAGCACATCTTCCTCAACCATCAGTCAGAGAGCGTTCTGCCTCTAGGAGGCCTCCTTTTGAGCTTGGCAGAGTGGCCAAACTAACCAATCATGGCATCAGAACTCTAAGCACGTGAGAGAGAGTGGGAACCTCCCAGAACATTGTTTTGTGCCACTCCCAACAGAAATACTCCAGGTGGACAACTTCAGCAATCAGGACCTCCTCAGTTGCTCATAGAAAATCCCACCTTGGAGTTTACAAAGATTTATGGGTAGAAAAGCCACACTAAGTAATTTACTACACCACAGAGGCAAAATAAGAATCACACACTTGTAAAGAATTTGAATAGTTTAATGTGTAGACAAGAGGCCAGAAGAAACAAAACCAGAAAGTTAATCATGGTTAATCATGGGAGATATTTTTTCCTTTTTACATGCTGACATATTTTCATGTGTTCTATCATGAGTACATGGAAGGGTTAAAAAACAAAATTCAGAGACATATCTAAAGCAAAATGACTGAAAGACTGACAATCTTATGTATTATACGGGTAAAAAGTTTCACCTACTAAGAAACTCAACAACCATGGCTCTATCTGAAAGTGTTAAAAATACAAGGATAAATTCACAAATCCACAATCCTTATGACAGATTGCAAGGTACCTCTCAGTAAGGAAGGAGCTCTCGTGGCGTAGTGCCTAAGGCATTTGACTGCTAACCAGAAGGCTGGTGGTTCAAACCCACCATCCACTCCATGGAAGGAAGATAGGGCAATGTACTTCCATAAAGAGTTGTTGTTGTTGTTAGATGCCATTGAGTCACCTCCAACTTATAGCAAACCTACGTACAGCAGAACGAAACACTGCCCGATCCTGTGCCAGCCCCACAATCCTTGCTAGACCTGAGCCCACTGTCACAGCCACTGTGTCAATCCACCTCATTGAGAGGCTTTCCCTTTTCCGCTCACCCTCTACTTTACCAAGCATGATAACCTCCTCCAGGGATTGGTCCCTTCTGGCAATGTGATCAAAGTACCAGAGATAAACTCTGGCCAATCCCACTTCTAAAGAGGATTCTAGCTGTACTTCTTCAAAAAGAGATTTGTTTTTTCTTCTAGCAGTCCATGGGACTCTCATTACTCTTCACCAACACCACAACTCAAAAGCATCAACTCTTCTTCAGTCTTCCTTATTCATTGACCAGCTCTCACATGCATATGAGGCTATTGAAAATACCATGGCTTAGGTCAGGCGCATCGTCGTCTTCAAGAAAACATCTTTGCTCTTCATCACCTGAAAGAGGTCTTTTGCAGCAGGTTTGCCCAATGCAAAAAAATCATAGTCTGATGTCTTGACTCCACTGGTGCTGACTGTAGAAACAAGTAATAAGTCTTTGACAACTTCAGTCTTTTCTCCATTTATCATGATGTTGCTTATTGGTCAGTTGTGAGGATTTCTGTTTTATGTTGAAGTGTAATCCATACTGAAGGCTGTATTCTTTGATCTTCATCAGTGCTTCAAGTCATCCTCACTATCAGCAAGTAAGGTTGTGTCGCCTGCATATCACAGGTTGTTAATGGGTCTTCCTCCAATCGTTATGCCATCCTCTTTCTCATATAGTCCAGCTTCTCAGGTTATTTGCTCAGCATACAGATTGAATATATATGATGAAAGGATACAACCCTGATGCACACCTTTCCTGATTTTAAACCATGCAATATCCCCATGTTCTGTTCAAACAACTGCCTCCTGGTCTATACACAGATTCCTCATGAGCACAATTAAATGTTCTGGAATTCTCATTCTTTGCAATGTTATCCATAATTTGTTACGATACACACTGCTGAATGCCTCTGCATAATCAATAAAACACAGGTAACCATTTTTCTGGTATTCTTTGCTTTCAGCTAAGAGTCATCTGACATCAGCAATGACATCCCTCATTCCACATCCTCTTCTGAATCCAGTTTGAATTTCTGGCAGTGTTCTGTCAATATACTATTACAATAGTTTTTTAGTTATCTTAAGCAAGATTTTACTTGTCTGTGATATTAATGATACTGTTCAATAATTTCTGCATTCTGTTGGATCACCTTTCTTTAAAATGGGCACAAATATGGATCTGGTCTTC